AAATATTATTTGAAAATAAATTGTAATTAAAATTTTGTAGATTTTTTAACAGATTTACATCATTCTGAGTTTTTTTTTTTTTTTGTTTTTAATAGTATGAGACTAATTTATAAAAATGTTTATAATAGATTTTTTAAAAAGAGTTTTAATTTAAATTTTGTATTCGAATTTAGGTTTAATATGAAAAGAAACCAAATTTAATAATATATTTTGTGTGCAAAAATAATAACTTAATTTGCTAAATTGTCTAGACAGTCCTTAGCTTTGATATCACGCTTTTTAAAACTTGAAAAAATCACATTTACTTAAATTAATTTAGAATTTTCCTGTATTTCATATTTGACTATATTATACGAAACACAAAAATTAGAATCGAATGTTTTTTTTGCTAAAAATTGTTTTAAGGGGTAACTATCAACCGAATGGATATATTTTTGGCCCATTTGGTCCACAATTTTGGGGCATTTATACCATCTTTTCATGTAATATCATTAAAATGGCGATTTTTAGCAATATTTGTATTTTTTTCTCCTTTTTCCCAGAGATAAAACCAAAATTTGTTATTGGGATTTAATATACCCCTTGGGGTATCTAAAAATAATATTTTTTGTTACAAAAATCTGTATTTAAACGTTCCAATATATATTATTGGAATCATTCTTCTATCGCTAATTCAATTTTTTGGAACTCAAGTCCATTTTTATAATACCAGGGTCAAAAATTTTCGGGGAAACTTGTCTTCTATATATTTTTTTAGATATCAGCTGTTATACATTTTAAGTTTTCAATATATTGTGGAAGTGTACAACTCCAAAGCATGCCTCGAAGAAACGCCATTCAATATAGTGGAATCATTCTTTTTATAACCATTGGTCTCTAGGCTGAATGTCACCATATCATTATGGTCTAACTCAAAAATATTGATTTCTGTTTAAATATTATCTACTATGATCAAAATAAACCCAAAATTTTGGACATACAGCGTTTTTGTAATGGGTAACATAATCGTGAATGTTATGAGTAGTAAAAACTGAAATCTACTGTATAGGATGACATTTTGTTAAGGCATGTTTTTGAGTTGTATACCACTACGATGTCTTGAAAATTTAAAATATATTAGTGCTAATATCTACAATATATACTAGCTAACTTTGTCGGAAAATATCGATCCTAGTGGTACGAAAAGGGACTTAAGATCCAGATAATTCAATTAGAAACAGAAGAACGATACCAAAAATATATCTTGGAATGTTTAAGTACAGGTCCTTATAACAAAAATTATTATTTTTAGATACCTCAAGGAATCTATTAAATCCCAATATTAAATTTTGGTTTTATCTCTGGAAAAAGAGAAAAAAATGGCAAATATGGTCAAAAATCGTCATTTTAATGATATTATATGAAAAGATGGTACAAATGCCCCAAAATTGTGGGCCAAATGGGCCAAAAATATATCCTTTCGGTTGATAGTAACCCCTTGAAATAATTTTAAGCAAAAAGACCATTCGATTCTAATTTTTGTGTTTCGTAAAATATGGTCAAATATGAAATACAGGAAAAATTCGAATACTTTTGTGAAGTAATTTTATGGACTTTTTTTAAAAAAAGTTAAATTTATTTAAGTAAATGTAAATTATCTAAATTATATGGAGTGTGATATTAAAACTTAGGACTCTCTAGACAATATGTCAAATTTAATTATTAATTTTACACACAATAAATATTATTAAATTATGTTTCTTTTAAAAGTACACCTAAATTCGAATACTTATGTGAGACACTGTATGTATGTAGGTACCTATTTATCAGCAATTAAAACAAAAACAAATAACAGTGTCTTTTCGACTATATTGAATCTTTGTACCCTTCATCACAAGATGAAAATAAAATTGATAACAATTTTGGACAAGAAAGAAAATTTGTGTGTAAAATATTTAAAAAAAAAAAAAGTTTTGGAGAAATCTATAGTTCTGTATAAATCTAAAAAATCTCTATTATAGTTAAGATCAAAAAATATAAAACCCAACCAATCTCCTCAGTGAAAACATTACAAAATTCTTAGAAGATTTAAATTATATTTTGATTTTGAATTATATCAAATTCAAAGAATTGTTGTTTACCTCATCTGTGATCGATCAGATATCAAACAAAAAAGTCTTTTATTGTAATCTCAAAAGGTATTTTCGAAAATTCAACATTTTGTTCAAGAAACTGGACAAAACTAATTTAGAATGTTATCAAAATTGAAATTTAAATGGGAGCTATAAACAATTATAGACCATTCATCACAATTTTTTAAATTTTATATCGCCATGATTATTTATATTCCATTTATAACTAAATTTAGGTTATTATGGACTGATCAACAAAAAATTCAGCTTATTCTGACTTTTATTTTTATTGTAGTTACCTACTTTTATTTTTTAATTCTGTACCTAGCATTTAATAACTTCAAACAGTTTTAATAGAATTAGATCTTGGGGGAAGTGTTATTGTTTAGAACATGATTTCGTATGTCCCTCAGATTTCTTATTTCAATTCTCTGGGGGGGTTATTTTGTAATTTTTTATTGATTTTCATAAAAATTTAAACTATCATTGTATTTCAATTCAAATACATTAAATCTTTTTCGTTTAACACCTACATATGTATATTCTAAAACTTTTTAGCTGACCCTCGTAAAAAACCCATTTACTATTCTCTCACGCACATTTGTTTTCAAAAGAGAGCCAACTTTGAACAAAAAATGATCTATGAATTTTTTTTTTTTTTTCAATAATTCCCTTCTTTTTTTAATAACTAAAGAACAAATTATGGAAAAATACACAAAATTTCCCAAACACACATGTGGGCAAAACCTATTGGATAAACAAATAAGTTGAATAGACACGATTTTCGAAACATCTAAAATAAGTATCTGTTTCCAAGAGCTTACTACGTCTAACAAACCATACAAGAAACCCACGTGTTGCTTTACTATAAAAACCTGCTGGAAGCTAAATCACATTTAATTTTCAATGAAAATTTATCAAGTAGTTATGTATTTATTCAAAGCAAACAATATTAATAAGTTAATGTTACGAAATTGTAGCAAAATTTATAATTAAATATCCATATTGCAAAAATACTTTTTTTACTAATTCTCCATAACCTCCCACTTACTGTTCATGGTATTGTTGTCTTTGAAGTTTTTTATCCAGTTTAGTTTTGTATAGTCAATCAGTATTTTAGTTTCCATTAAACTTTTATCGAAATTTGTTTATTTTTACACTTACCGGTTAGAAATTACTAAAATTTTTATTGGCAAATTTTAAATTTTATTTAAAACTACGCAATTGCACTCACTTTGAATTAACCGGTCTCACTGCTAAAGCACTACTAAGCTGATAGTAGTGGTACAGTGCTGTTATTTTGGTACTAAAAATGTTAACCGAATCGCTAATGTTGGTGGTAGAGGGACAAATGGGAAAATTTAAAACGATTTTATTAACTAAATTAAAAGTTGTTTAACATTAGTTTTTGTTTATCAAATAAAATAATTAAAAATTCACTTTTATTCATTGTTTTCAATATAAAGTCCCGAAATTACAAAAAAATGTTTGGTAGTGTTTTATAAATTAGAGCTTCTCGATGTTAATCGATGCATCGTAAACATCGATGTTTTGGTTTCAATTCGAAAAGTCGAAGTCGACTATTTTGTTCCAAAAAAGTCGATAACTCGACTATCGTCTATGAAAAAAGTCGAAAAGTCGACTTTGTAAATAAAAGTCGAAAAGTCAAAAAATAGGAAAGTCGAAAAGTCGAAAAATGTTGAAAAGTCGAAAAAAGTCGAAGAAAGTCGAAAAGTCGAAAAGTCGGAAAAAGTCGAAAAGTCGGAAAAAGTTTAAAAGTCGATAAAAGTCGAAAATTTTAAAAAAGTGGAAAATAGGTCAAAAACTCTAAAATAGTCGGAAAAACTCGAAAAAAGTAAAAAATAGTCGAAAAAAAGTCGAAATAAATCGAAAATAGTCAAAAAGTCGTAAAAAATCAAAAAGTCGAAAAGTCGGAAAATGTCGAAAAGTCGGAAAAAGTCGAAAAAAGTCGAAAAAAGTCGAAAAAAGTCGAAAAAAGTCGAAAAGTCGAAAAAGTCGAAAAGTCGGAAAAAGTCGAAAAGTCGAAAAAAGTCTAAAAGTCGGAAAAAGGCGAAAAGTCGACCATTTATATAATACTAAAAGTCGAAAAGTCTAAAAGTCGACTTTTAAATAAATGAAAAAGATCGAAAAGTCGAAAAATCGACTTTTCATAAAATGAAAAAAGTCGAAAAGTCGACTTTTCGTTTCAACTATAGAACCCTAATAATAATAAGTAATAATGTTGGTGGTAGAGGGACAAATCGGAAAATTTAAAACGATTTGATTGTACTAACTAAATTAAAAGTTGCTTACCATTAGTTTTTGTTTATCAAATAAAATAATTAAAAATTCACTTTTATTCATTGTTTTCCATATAAAGTCCCGAAATTACAATAAAATGTTTGGTAGTGTTCTATAAATTGACTTTTGAACTAGTAAACAACAATCTTGTTGGGTTCTATAAATCGATTTTAAAATAACATATTGTCGGAAATTTCGAAGTCGACTTTTTAGTCCACTCAAAATTGATAAGTCGACTATCTTGTAAGAAATTGTAGGAAAAAGGTCTAAAAACGGAAATAGTTGAAATTTATTGCAATTAAATTAGTTGCAATTTGAAGCAAAAATGTCAATTTTTATATGTTTCAAAACTCTAAAACTCGACTTTTCATAAAATACAACAGAATCCCAAATTTATATCTATATTAAAATAACAAATTTTTCAATTTCTTTCATTTTAACTATAAATTTTCTCTCAGTGTCACAGCCGATAAGCCCAAACAATTGTAAACGTCATCCATCAGCTGTAGTCGTCGTTGTAATGCATGTTTGCATAAATTAGTACTAATTCTACACAACTCGTGCAAAAAAGTAGTAAAAGTGCTAAAAATAACAACCGTTTAGTAACAGCGGCTATTGGTGATGTGGTTAAAAGAAGAATTATTGCATTATTAGAAATAAAAACAGTTTTTTTAATAATTTTATCAGCTAAAAACACATTTAGCCTTTAAAAAGCTAAAAACAAGAAACTCAAAATGTATAATAATCCAAATTCAGGCATAAGGAATCGTAAGTGGGAAAATTGTAAGGAAAAAAACCAAGGAAATATACGCAAGTACCACCACCCTTAAATAAAGATTGTTATAAGAAAAAATGTTAAAACTAAGTCCACAAATGGCAACAAATAGCTGTTTGTTTTGCATTAATATTTATTGAGTTTTTGTTAATAGAATAACTTCTTGGTTTTGCCTATTATTTGTTATAAAATTATGACGAATTACTAACAGTGTGTTAGCCAAAGCAATAAAATGTCTAACGCCTATCATGACATGTTTTCCTGTATCTGCTGTCTTTAGCCTACGTTGAACCTCTACTATATTGTCCAATGTTTGTAGCTTGCAAAATTCCTTTGTTCTTTTGCCTTGTGTTAATGATTGATTAATTGTAAAAGAAATGTTACTAATTTCATATAAATTTTGTTAAGCTTCCGGTCCTGGTCGTAAAGTTCAACGTGTTAGTGATGTTAATGTTATGGGTCCGGCTGCTCCCATGCCAAATGCTTCACCCTATATGCAGCCCGCAACTGGTCCCACTGTTTTGGATCCTATGATGCAGTCTGGTGGTAATATGGGTGCTGGCTCTTATGGTGCCCCCCTACAGCCAATGCAACAACCACAGGGGAATGCTTACAATAATGGTGGCATGCCTATGCCAAATCAAAACTATGGTTACGCCTCACCCTCTCCCCAACCCCAACAACCTCCACAATATAGTTCTGTACCTGGAGGAGCTCCATTCGGTTCTCAACCACAACAGCCGGGAGTTGCTGGTCAATTTCCACAATTTGCCATGTTCCAACAACCGATTGTCCAGGATATGGCTATGGAGTATGGTCAACGTCTGGCCGATCAAGGTAAACAATTGGTAGAGAATCAATTTACAAAATGGGTTCCGGTGGCCAAATTGAAGTACTATTTTGCTGTCGATAATAATTATGTGATTAATAAATTACGTTTGCTGTTCTTCCCATTTACACACAAGGTAAGATTTAGTAATATTATTTTATAGGGCAGTTTTAGTTTGAAGATTTTCGGAAATACTTGAATAATTAAAATCTTAAAATTTTAGTTAAATCAATAAAAAATTAATTTTTCGAAATCATAGCATGAATTAACACTTACTTCGTCACTTCGAAATTTTATTATGTCTCTTAAAGAATTCGATGCCGATCAAAGGAGATGTTATTTTCATAAAAGAGAAAATACAAATTTAATTCAGAATGAATCCATTTTCAATATTTAAAATGTTATTGAAATCTATTAAAAACTTGAGTCTTCATTAAATTTTAAAACAAAAATATATAGTTTTTGTATACCTATTAGAAATTTAGAGAAGCTAAAAAAACCATTTGAATAATAACTTTGGAATTGAAACCATTCCTATTTTAAATCCTTATAAATAGCGATGTCGATGTAGCGACGTCAGGCAAAATTCTATCAGACATGCTTTCGAAAAGTTTTCTTTTTGTAACTGGTTAAATCTTTATATTAATAAAGAATATATGTGCGGGAACCTATGCCGAAATCGATTGAAAAGTCTAAAATTGGGTAAAAAATATCTTTTAACATTTCGATCGAATCTTATATTCTAGAGAAAATTTTCTATCCAACGAGAAACATTTTTATCAAAGGACAAAGGCAATGATCATATCAAAAGATATATATTCGACCTTTCATTTGATATATAATTCGTCCAGAAAATAACTAGAAACAATATATTATATGGGATTTTGGGTATTTTACATTTACGCACAGAATTTGGGATTTTTTTATAAAGTTAAAAAATAAATTATGAAAAATATTATTATTAAACAAAAATACTGCTTGCAGCAGTAACATGCTACACGATTCGATATCGAAATCTGGATTGGAATCTGAATGGATTTTCTCGATATTTCAATTTTGTGGCATACCAAATTACTGCAATAATCCCTTCAATTAATATTCAAACATTTTTAATATCATTATTATATAATTCATATTCTTTCCTTACAGGACTGGTCCCTAAAATACGATCAAGAACAGCCCGTCCAGCCACGTTACGATATTAATGCACCCGATTTATATATACCCACGATGGCTTTTATCACTTATGTTGTTGTGGCTGGACTTATGTTGGGTCTACAGAATCGTTTCACACCCGAAAAACTAAGCATTGAGGCATCGAGTGCATTGGCTTCAAGTATTTTTGAATTGGTTGTTTACTCGATTACTTTGTATGTGGTGAATATTAAAACGAATCTAAAAACTTTGGATCTATTGGCATTTTCGGGTTATAAATTTGTTACAATTGTGGCATGTTTGCTGGTGAGCACACTGTTTCATGGTTTTGGCTACTACATGGCACTGTTATATTGCAGTTTATCCTTGGGCTTCTTTTTGGTAAGATTTAGTTAAATATATGTAAATAGGATAAATATACTAATTATTTATTTTATTTACAGCTACGTACTTTAAAAACAAAAGTTTTACACGAATCTTCACCAACAAATCCCAGCGGTGCCATTAATTATGATCCCTATGGCAATCCCCAACAATTGGATTATACTGGCGGACGCAAAAGAAAACTATATTTTCTTTTCTTGGTCGTGGGCGGTCAAGCATTTTTGTCCTTTCTATTATCGAAACATTTATATTTTCCCGATGCCGCCACCTTAGAAGCTAGAAACTTACAATTCTAATTTTTTACTCAACTCATATTTTTTGAAACATGTGTTTTTAGTTTAAATATTTCTTTTTTTGTTTTTTTGCAATTCCTTACATTTTTATAGTTTATATTTTTCTATATAATTCCTTTAAGAAATCATAGTAATTCTTAAAAAGAATACTTACTTAATAAACGAGACAAAGGGAATTAAATATCTTCCCTTTTGTGGTTTACGTGTGAGAAGAGAGCTGAGAAGAACATTTTATTAAGGAACAAAATGTTTTGACTTTTTGTTGGAGATGCTACAGATGATGTTTAAGGACTTTAACCCTAATATAATTTCCTATTGCATTTTCCCTTATTTATGTTGGTTTGTGTAATATACTACATACATGTGAATTTCTAACATAATTTTTTAGTTATATTCGAAATAAAAAATGTATATTTTCATAAATAATAAAGAAATAAAATTTAAATTTTTGGAAAATTTAATTTTTAGGTTATAAAAGTAGAAAGAAGTGTGTAGTGTAATGATGGATCGATTTCAAAAAATAAGCGAATCTTGATAAATGTTGAAAAAATAATCAATAATAAAATATTAAACAAAAATCTTACCTTGAGAATAATATATATTTTTTTAATATAATTTTATATTAATATTTTTGTATTATACAATTATACAAGGTTGGTGCTACCGATACCCGCGCGTTAAGTGTTAATACAATAAAGTCGGCCAATCTATATTATACCCTACACCAGAATTAATGAATAAAAAATTATTAATGTAATGGAAATGATTTTATAAGAAAATTTATAAGTTTTGTAGCCTTTTTTGAATGAAAATGAGGGATATTAGAACAATAATTATTATAAAAGCAAAAAATCTGTTCAAATTTTAGCTAAATGTCGATATACTTAATTGATTTATATATTGAAGTTTTAAGGATATTATGAACTGCTCATTATAGAATTCGCTAATGAAATTATTGATTAATTGATAGTGTGTAGTTTTTAAATACACACTATCATACTATAGAAATAAATACATTTTTGTTAAATACACACAACTGAACCGATTTACCGTCACGTTAAGATTATTTAACCGTTGCCACAGAAATACCGTTACCTTTTTAATAAAATTTCGTCAATTTTTTAATGTTTCGACGTTCAAAGAACCGATTTACCATTACATCAAGATAATTTTTTCATTGCCACGAAAAACTTGTTACGGTTTTAATAAAATTTCGTTATTTTTGAAACGTTTCGACGTTCAATGAACCGATTTACCGTTACGTCAAGATAATTTTATCGTTGTGGCATAAAACTCGCTACCGTTTAATTTAAATCTCGTTAATTTAGAAAAGTTACGACGTCCAACCTTTATTTTATTTAATTTTTTAATAATTATTTTTTTTTATTTCTTTTTTTTTTTATTTTACCACAATATTACATATGTAAATACTTGATTTTTTAATTAAATAATGCATTTTTTCTTTTAATAATTGCCTTTTACCTACTTTTATTTATTTATTTATTTTCATTAAAAACTTTAATTTTTTTAACTCACTTCTTTATTGATTTAACATTGATTTTATCTACTTTTCTTTATTTATTTTCATTACTTTATTTAATTTTTTAATAATTATTTTATTTTTAAATTTTACCACAATGTTACATATTTTCAACTTGATTTTATAATTTAATAATGCATTTTTTTAATAATTGCCTTTTACCTACTTTTTTATTTATTCATTTTTTATTAATTTAACATTGATTTTGCCTACTTTTCTTTATTTATTTATTTATTTTCATTGAAAACTTTAATTTTTTTTAACTCACACTTTTTGATTTATAATACATACATACATATGTATGTATTCATATACACACATTTCTTCTTATACGCCGTAGATAAGGTGATTTCTTTCAATCTAACCTCAATTAAAAAAAACCGCCAATTCTGGCGCTTAAATTTTGCCTTTAACATAAAAAACGGGTGCTCCGCTGGCACAATTGAGACTTTTTCATCAACTAATACACACACATTTAAACACACTTATGAGATTTTTTCTTATAGCCATTTTGACGAACATTAAAAAACTTAACAATTGAATATTTCACATATTTTCATAAATTTTTTAACGAAATTTTAATAACCACTTATTTAATAATACTTTTTTATTAACTTTTCCAAATTTTATTTATTACTAAGCGAATTTAATTTTTTTTTTAATATTAATTTGGGAAAAAACTTATCTTTAAGTAAAACGCGCACTTGTTAAACGTACTAAAAGGAACTAAAAAGAGAAGTACAAGTGTATGCATAATATTGCACTACACATACAATTAACTAGAAATAAAGAAGAGAGCATTTTATTTTATGCGCATGCGTTAAAATATAACGTTTTTTTTAATGCAATTTTACTCTCTTTTATGAAACAAATTTCCGTTTTTTTTTATCCTTCACTTATTCTAATTAGTACTGTCAACTTAGTGCTTTTAATAATATTTGGCGTAAACAAGTATTTAGTAACCCCCATATTCATAAACATATTAATCGTGTATTTTAGGTATATTACGCACATTTCACCTACAAAACAGCTACAATAAACCATCAACAACTTAATTAAGTATTTATGAACGTGGTGGAAAGCAATGAAATACAATTTAATTTATTTATTTTAATAAAATGTACTGAGCATAGGGTAATAACTATTTTACAATTTTTGAAAATTTCAAATCGGCCCTATCCATTTTACATGGAGTATAAAAAAGTATATACATACGTCGAAAAATTACTCACTTTTTCCCCTAGCGTTAAAAAAGTTTATAAAAATTAAGAACCAAGTGTGGTTCAATTCGAAAGTTATAACCACCCAAAGTTAACTGAACGGAATCCTTTTTATTACTGCGCTTAAAACACTTTTTAGAGTATATTTTTGATTTCTCTGCAGATAATAAATATGAAAGTGTGTTTTAGATATCCAAGTTTATAGGAATATTGAATTATGAAAACAATCAAAAAATATATAAAATTATTATATATAAAACTAGTGTATATTATACACTTTATTTAGAATTAATTCTTTTTCAGCATTTTTGTTCGAAATTATTAAGATTAGAACAAATTATTAGACACCGTAAAGGAATTATTATTTTATTTATCCATACATACCTAGACAAAAACAGTCATGTGAAAGATTTCGATAATTTTTTTATTTCAGTATATATGCCTTTAATGGTCATACATCCACCCACCAAATTCTAAGAAGATATCTTTATTTATTCAGAAATTATCATGGTATTTGATCATATAAAGTACAAGTTTTACGAACAAAATCAGTTATGTGTAATAAAATATTCAAATTTTAAAATAATTTGCTCCAAAATGCTTCAAACAAAATCGGTTATGTGTAGCTTTTATTAAATATTAAATTATGTAAAATTTATAATCATTTTGCCGCACCTATAATCTGTTGAAATTTTTTTGTACTCGTGATATACGAAACAAGCGGATAATTCCGTACTCTCCGTAAAATTAAATTTGCGATCTCTTGAATTCCTTATAATTCAGTTCTATGCAGAAATATACGTATGAAATATGTACATTAGAGGTGTCCAAAAGAAATATGAATTTTGCTCAGATGTGTCTTATTTTGTTCATTACGCCTAAAACTTATTGGCGTAAAATTTTAGAAAAATCAGATAACCGAAACCCGTGTCGGAAATCGATTGAAAAGTGTAAAATTGGGTAAATAATAGGACTTTGTTATTTGTCGCTTGATATTAATATTTTATACATTGTTGGAAAGATAATTTTCTTTAGAAGAAAAGATTTAATCGAAATTTTAAGAAAAGGTAATTTTAATGTCACGATTTTTGAAGAATTTAAAAAAGTGCTATTATTTACCTAATTTTACTCTTTTCAAAATTGTACACCAGTTAGCTTTAGATAATAATCATCAAAATAAGGCCTATCTGAGCAAAATTTATATTTTTTGGACACCTCTAAAATACATATGTAAATTTATTTTTACATTTTTTAACTAATTCTAAAGTTATGTATACACGGTTGTTAGATCTTACAATATTGGCAGAATGTTCAGAAATATCTAACCACCGTCAATTTACAAACATTGTCTGAAATGCTTTTTCTGACACCGTTTCAAAGCAAACATTTTAAGTTCACACGATTGTTAGACATTTTCTGAACATTTTATATCATTTTGTATCTATGTAGTAATGATCGTTTATAAGCCAGGACTTTTTATTTTCATAGTTTAACCCTAAATAGCCTGAATTTTTTGTTTTAGCGGAAAAAAATTAATGTTATAAAACTTACATTTCTACATTTTTTGAGTTATAAGGAACCACCAGGCACCCGAACTTCCAAATTATTAATATTATAAAACATATGTACTTTTAAGGCAATAATAAGCAATTTCATTGTTAATGAAGACAATTATATTGGGATATAAATATAATATATAAAACAGTTCTTTACTGATGAAAAACATGATTTTATGCCATATTTTCGACATCGCACTTTTGTCTGGGATGAATAATTTGGATTTTTCATCGTGGTTTGCCTTATATTATAAATTTGGTAAGTGTATCATGTGATCTAGGTGAATATCGCTAGTTGACAATGAACAGAGATTGTGAGCCGACGTTTCGAAACAATTTCAACCCCAAGGATATTTGGTCCATATTTTCTCACTCGAATTTTAACACAAGATTTCATCAAGCAAAGACAGACTTCTGGCACAAATGCTATGCTTCATTTTGAAATTAATTAATCAAAAAACATCCCGAAAATATCGATTTTTATAATCTGATCAAAGTTTGGAAAGAATGAATTCTATTTGAAATTAATTATTAAAAATTTATAATTAATTCCCTTATATTTTTAATTCGGCTTTAAATTTTTGAATGTAACATTCTTTAAAATCATTCTTTGAATTTAAATTCTAAAGCTGAATTCCTCGGCTTTACATTCCATTGAATTAATTCCAAAGAGAATTCATTCTTTATAGGAATGAATTCAATTGAAGGTTCATTCATATTTGTTTAATTCCTTCTATTACAAATTGAATGAAAGAAAAAAAATTTAATTAAATTTTTAATATACAGAATGCTTTTGAATTATAAAACAAAACTTTCATTCAATCTATTTCAAATTGAATGGTTGAAAAATTTTTAAATTCAATTTGTAACAGATTGAATTCAAACAAAATTTATATCATTCAGAGGGAATTTAAAAATCAATAGGA